CTTGTCAGGCTCTCATGTTTATGAAAGATCCAAGGAAACTATGATAACTCTTGCGGACAGCATCATTGGCCATGGTTGGGTGAATTAGTAAAGCGCGTTGTCATATCAGATCTCATGTCAGATAAGTAATTTATGCATGAGCAAAGTCTAGTATAATATATTTTCAAAAATTAGTCCACCTATCATCCGTTCCACTGGAACTGGAAGAGTCATCGTCGCTGCTCAGTGACTGTTGTGCGGCCATTCGAGCTAACGATGTTCGATCTTCCACATCCATTGATGACTGGAAAAAAAATTTAAATAGTTGAAAAAGGGCGCTTACATACGCCCTTCAAAATGCTTCGTTTTTGAGCTTTCTTAAAAAACAGCGTAGTTCTAGAAATTCATGAATTTAAAAAAAAGGCCAAGACATAATTATGCGCTGGAGTATGCCAAATAAAGCATCCAAAACCGCCGTAGTGAAATGTATAAGTAATTTGAAAAAAAAAATGACTAATAACAAATGTAAAGATGTGAAATTTGATAAAAATGTACAAAATTGCACTAGAAAATGAAATGTACAAGGAAGAAGGCGTATTAAGGAAGACGTTTTACTGGACAATGGATGGAAGGAGGAACTTGTGATTTTCAAAGTTAAACCGTCGATTTTCTAAAAAATGTAGTGGAATCGAACATATTCAATTTAGCTAAATTACTAGACATCCGAGGAAAAATTTTATAAAATTTAGCAAGATTTAAAATGGAATTGACAGGTTATATTATCAACAGCATATAACAGAGTATTTTCGCTACTTCTTTCTAACCTTTGAGAAAAAACCAGTAATGCTATCTCACAAAACGGCGAAATCATAAACCTTTGGGATATGTGCTACGACATCGTAATAAACGGATGTGCCGATAATCGAATCCTGCAATTACCATTGAGAAAATGAGGAAAATTAGAAACTGATGATAATAATCATTGCGCTTTTTCCATATGTCACTTCCCTACTTTTTTCTTATTTTTGTCCTAACGATGCTTTTCTCCTGAAACTCAGTCATCAACAACCTCACTAGCGCATAGAACTTATTTCCATGTCTCGACCTCATAAAAAATTTTTCTGCTAAAAAATTTCGTGTGTCCGTACATGAGGACTACACGTATCTGGGAGCTGCATTTGATATCTCTAATATTCATGGGGGCTGGGAATATATTCTTAAAATTTCCCCAGCTTTCCTGTTTTCTAAGTTAACCATCTTTCCGCCAAAAAATTTAACGAGGCTGTATGTTAGAACCACGAATGCCATGAAGTCTGAATCTGATTAATTTTAGGTTGTACATGTGCTGAGAACAGTCGCTAAAAATTTCGGCCTCCTAGCTTCCTGGTTCCCGAGTTAGCCATTTTCGCGCCAAAAAAACTTCACCGAGACACACGTACTTCTGGGGGCTGAATTCGGTAATTTTAGGTTTTACATGTGCTGGGAACATACCCTGAAAATTTCAGCCTCCCAGGTTCCTGGCTCCCGAGTTAGCCATTTTCCCGTCAAAACATTCACCTTCTCGTAAGCGGGGCCAGACGTGTGTGACGGTTGGCACCGCGCTTCTGGGGTGGTACTTGGCCGGGAAACCCACTCGCGAAATCTTGGCGCCGGAGCATGCTTGGGTGCCGAGTTGAAACACCCGGACACACACACGCACACACACACACACACACACACACACACACTGGGATCGCCGCAATATGCATTTTAGCATTTGCATATATGCAAAAGCGCATAAAAAGCATGCTTAAATCGGTCTCATGGCATTGCACCGCAGCTTCTTTTAGAGACTATAGAGAGGTAACGGTACGTAAATTGAAAAGTGCGAAGTAACATACAGAACCGACGAATTTTTTCAGAAGCCGTCCAGTGAGGCTTGCCTTCTTGTAAACATGCATGCAAATCCGCTTTCGCAAGATGACATCAATTTCGCATGGATGTGATAAGCGTAACGTTACCTGGATGAAAGATGAATGTTACAATCAATTTAACAATTATGCCGGCACAGCGATCCAAAATAAATGTGTGTGTACGAGCAGCAATCCCAACGGTTAACACAGTATACTTGACACAAAATCATTGGCGACGCGCACCGGGCGGGCCCGTGCAATCATGCGTTTTTGCAATACTTCGTAATGTAAATGAGATCGCTCAGGAACCCAGAACCTAGAAATGTGTGACATGCTTTTCCTTGAAGTCCAAGAAGTTAATTGTTTATGCGAAACATCCCCTTAAAATCCCCTTAAAATTTCAGCCCCCCAGCTTTTCTGGTCCCTAAGTTACCTATTTTCCCGTCAAAAATTTGACGGGACCGCGCGTGAGAACAGTGCACATTGAGAGGCTGAGTTTGATAAGTTTACGTGGCACTTCTGTTGAGAACACTTCTTGAAAATTTCAGCCTCCCAGCTTCCCCGGTTCCCGAGTTAGCAATTCTCCCCGCCAAAAACTTCTACGGGGGCGTGCATGAGAAACATGCATGCCCAGGGGTTAAATTTACTAATTTTAATTTGTACATGGGCTGGGGGCATCCCCTTAAAATTTCAGCCCCCCAGCTTCCATGGCTCCCCAAATTAGCGATTTTCGCGCCAGGAGCCCTCACCAGACCATATGCGGGAACCACGCATACCTGGGGGCTGAATTTGAAATCCTTGAGTTCTAGGTTGGTGGGGACATAACCCCATAACTTCAGCTTTCCAGCTTTTCTGGTTCCCGAGTTATCAATTTTCCCGCCAAGACTTTCACCCAGTTGTAAGCGGGGCCCAGACTTGCATGAGAGTTGATGCTGCGGTCCTAGAGTGGCACTTGGTAGGGAAACCATGGCGCCGGAGCTTGCTTGGGTGCCGAGTTGAAATACTCGGACAGACGCACACATACACAAAAACAGACGCACACACATACACAAACGCATGCGAACATACACATACACGTACACCACAGGTCGTCGCAGTATGCGTTTTTGCAATTTGCGTATAAGCAAAAACACATAACAAAGGCTGGAACGCACCAGGCGAGCCGGTGCGATCATGCGTTTTTGCATC